TCAATGACAAATTGTCCCCCAGAAGTTCACATTCTGAGTCTCGTGATCTTTCAACCCCACTGGCTTAAAAACTACAAACTGGAGAAAGTCAAAAAAGTGAGCCCAGTGAGAGTTTGGTGGGCTTGTTGGGGCTACGTCATTATTTTGTTAATTAACCCAAATTAAAACAAAAATTAGGATTTTCATCAAATCTGAATCTGTATGAATGGTGGTGATCTGATTCATGATGGCCAGGAGTAATATCTGGTGGTTCATCAAGGATCAGAGGGGACAGCTACACTGCAAAGAAAAACCCATAGTGCCTGGTCAATTGACTCGGGCTCACGTGGCTCAGGCTGAAGATGTGCTTTGCAGTGTAGTTGTCTTGCTTGAGCTGGAGCCTGGCCTTTGAAAACCATGCAGAGGGAGAGTGTCAGAGCTGAGCTGGAAACGTCTACACAGCTATGCCTGCAGCCTGAGCCCCACAATCTTGTCTGGACTCTGAGGCTTGGCGCTGCAGGTTTTTCTTTGCAGAGTACACATGCCCGAAGAGTCACAGAGTTTAACGCCAGAAAGGACTATCAGATCCTGTGTATCACAGGCCAACAGCATCACCCAGTACCCATACACCAAGCCCAGTAACCAGAATTAGACCAAAGTATTATAGTTTCCTGTCAATCAGGATCTTCACCATAGAAACTGTTGCCTCCGTGAAACTGTTCAGGCCCTCCTGAACTGGCTGAAGATTTTAAAGAAGAACAGGATGTGGGACAATCCATTGCTGCTTGCTCCGCACTGACGGAACCATCGCTATGGCAAAGATCCATCTCTTTGTGCAGATGGCTCAAGAGCTCTGTTCCTGAATCAGCTGGACAGGAGAGCAGGTCAACATTTTTGGATGAATTTTCCCCCTGCTTCAAATAATGGGCTTTAAAGCAAATGTAAACAGCGAATCATTTTTGCAACAAATAAATAAATAAATGTAGTATTTTCAGGCAAAAACGGCACCGTTTTTTGACAAAAAATTTCACATTCAAAAAACTCCAAGCAGTTCTACTGTCCAGTTGATTCAGGGCAGAACTTGTGAACCAGCTAAACAGTTTAATGAAGCTCAGGATCTCTGACTTAGCAGGGGCTCATTTCATGGACACCTGGATGTTGGTAAACGGAGTCATTGCTTTGTCATTGCCTCTTGGAAATAACTGGGAAATGAATACACAAAAACACTGCGCTGCGTGTGAGTTAAGGTTGCTCTTAACAGCCTCCAGCAAGGCAATGAAAAGTTGAGGTTCCCAATAGTCCGTGCCTTCTGCTCCCTCTTCCACAGACACACATCGCTGCATTAGCTTGACTACCTCTGCCACAGCGAGTGCAACACAACCATAACTCCGTCCAGCTGCAGGACCAGCCTTCCAGCACCTCCTTACCCAAACCCGAGGGTCTGCAGCGACAGCCGTGGGTGGGTGAGTCTAGTCTGTAGTGGTGGGTGGTGGAATTTTCAAAAGCAGCTTCCGATTTTGAGCATACCCAATTTGAGCCAGGTAGGACCTGAGCTGTGGAAGTGCTCAATGCCCACAGCTCTTTATGCCCACGAGAACTGTGCGTGCACTCAGCAGCTTAGAGAATCCTGCCTCCTGTGTCTCAAGTTGGAGTCACCCCAAGGCCATGGCTGCTGTTGAAAATGTGGCTGTGAGTGATCTGGCCAAGGCCACACAGTGAGTCAGTGGCAGAGCGGGGTCACAAGGCAGGAATAAAGCTAGCTGGCTATAGGGTAACAATTGTGATTTCTGAATGGAAATTTGTCTGGCTCTGTTCCCACCTTTGATAGCAAGCAGTTCTAGGACGCTCATCTGAGCAAAATGTTATTGCCAACCAGTCGCTGAAGATAAATTCCAGGCCTGCTGCTGAGATGCGCTCAGTTGTAGAACAAGTTGAATGTTGTCATGAAACTCAGTTCATTTTGGGCAGTCGGGGAAGTGGATGCTAAAGCTTAGGTCACCCAGTCAGAGAACAGAGATATTCCCATGTGACTGAGGTCAGAGAGACTCAGACTTCTTGGATCACATTTTTATACAAAGATCATCTCATAATCACCTGGCCTTACATCCGTGATCCCACAAAACACCACCCTGGCTGTCCACAATGACTCAGCCTCCTCCTCTCCCTGCTGTGCTCACACAGACCATCTTCACGCCTTCACAGAGACATCACCCTTCCTTCCATTCCCAGCCACCACTACCCCGGTCCACTCCCTTCCCATGTACAATAGTGTGCCAACAGCAGCCATTACTTCCATGGAAGAGTGATATGGGAAGGTATTGAATGGACTGTAGCGGTCTGTGCTGCAGTTCAGTAGCTGGAAGGAAGGAAGAAGAGCCAGCGCTGTGTGATCAGCCAGATCCTATGGAGCACAATTTGTGAAGCTCTGACTTTGGGGACTAAACACATAGCTCTAATAGGGTATCCTCAGTGAACGGTGCAGGAGCATAGGCTAACAGTTGTTCACATAAACTATTCATTGAACGGTTGACTAAAATTCCCCCGAAGCATGACCTTCTCATGGACAGTTCACCAACTGAAATTCACAGAATACACTGTCTGCGGTGACAAACTGGGCCATGTCTGCTTCTGGCTCCCACTCCCACATGTCACTTGCTAGATTCTATTGCCTGCCAGTCACATGCCTGAACAACAACATGAACCAAGAGACAGTTAAAAAGCCACCAGAGAAAAAGTGAAAACAAAGCCGAGACAGCCCTGAAGTTGGGCCGGGGCTCGCTCTAGAGCTGTGTCGACCCTGACAAATTTAGGACCAGATGTTGTCACCATTGCAGATCCACTGGCAGGGGAAGCAGCAATGTAGAACAGGACTCTGGTGTTTTATCCTCATGTTGCCTTGCTCTGCAGGCAAGAGAGGAGCTGAGGGTTCAAACACATTTATGGCAGGCTTGGTAAATCCACAGCAATACCAGCTAAATGAAGGCGTCCCGGTGGCGATCGCACAGCTACTTGCTCCCTAGGGACCAGCTAAACTAAACAAAAGAGAAATCCAATAAGGGGGATAGGTTAGAGAAGCAATTACAGGATTATTGTATCACCCGCCCTTCAGTCAAACACAAAACTAGCCAGCATCACTTCTCTATTTAGGCTTTAGAATTTGCAGGGCAGGGTCAAAATTCACTGGGTCCAGGTGCCAGATCTGCATATTTGTGGGACCACAATGGATTTTATTGGTGCAATTGCAACAACTAGGCTTGTTCCCTACGTAAACAGCAGAATTAGAGGGAGCTGGACCAAAACTGGACTAAAATTGCCGTTTCCATGAACAAAGAGTGTGCGCCACACTGCATACAGTGACCCAGGGAGAACACAGAAAAACACGGGGATTCGTTACCTCGTTAGAATTTTAACAATTCCCACCTTTCTGATTTGTGGTTATTTGCACAATGAAATCTAAATGCGTATTCCCCCAAAAGGCTCTTTCCGGCTTCCTTTATGGTAAATTACATTTATTGAATTGTTCAATAAAGCACAAGAACAAAAATCACAACCAGGAGATCGTCACAAGCCACACAAAGGGAAGACCCCACCTTGTGCCTGGAGCATGCAGTCTAAAGGCAGACAATTCCAACTATCCTCCTCTCACAGGGCTCCAAGACACAGTCAGTCATCCTCGTCTCTTTTAAATATTGATTTCTCCTCTTAACTGCTCCTGCTCCATCTCCCCTGTTCCCCACTCCCCAAGGGCATGCCTTGGCCCATTAGAGAGATGAGCATTGTTTAGCGGTCTGGTAAAATCCTCCCCCCGAATTCCACTGCCTAAATGGAGAACAAGTCTAGCTACTGGCTTGAGCACCAAGAAAAGAGATCTAGGCATCCTGGCATAACAACGCTGGAAAAATGTATCCTCATGTATCCAGCCCATATTTAACCCCCATCCCTGCAAATTCCATTGGTTCAATAGAGACTCCCCTCCCCCCATATGCTGGATCTGAGTTCTGGTGGTGTCGTTGTCCTGGAATATGCTGGCATCTGTTGTGTGTGTGTGTGCGTGTAAATGTCTGCAGTGAGGTTGTAGCCTTGTGGGTCCCAGAATATTAGAGAGACAAGGTGGGTGAGGTAATGTCTCTTATTGGACCAACTTCTGTTGGGGAGAGGGACAAGCTTTGGACCTACGGGGGTCTTCAGGTGTGGGCAAGGTACTCAGAGTGACACTGTGGCACTGGAGGGAAAGCTTGTCTCTCCCCTCAACAGAGGCTGGTCCAATAAAAGATATTTCCTCACCAGCCTTGTCTTTGTGAGGGGAAACGTCAGGGCTGGATCCAGGGGCTAGATGTGAGTGCCTAAGATGATGTGCTGAGATGCAGCAGGCTCCAGTGGGACAATAGGAGAAGCTCCACGTGTTGTATGACACTCCCTACTTCAGGGCTTAAGCTAACCTCTCCCCATGGAGATCAGGCTGGGGGGTGGGGGCAGAGACCCCCTCTACAAGGCTCTTCTTCCTTCCTCTGAAGGATCTGGTACACCCAACTGCCCAAGCATCTCGGTGGCCCACGGCAGATCCAGCGTGACCCTGCCTGCGGTCTCTATTTGTGCGGCCCTCCTCCAAGCTAGCTGGAGCTGCGAGTGGGGGGTGTCGTCGCACCGGTTGGGGGGGGTGCCTTGTAGGCAGCAGAGTGGGTGGGGGGCGCGGGCCGGCCGGTCAGAGCCGGAGGAGCGGGCCGGGGGCTCGGTCAGAGCCGGGGGAGCGGGCCGGCAAAGTGGGGCCGGGACCGGCTCCGGGCGGAACGGGGCCGCTGGCCCTTTAAGAAAGTTCAATCGTGCGAGTTCATCAAAGTTTAAAAAGTTTTTCGTGGAAAAAAAAAGCGGTGGGGGGGGGGCAGGAAAGTTGGCTGCGGGCGGCGGGGATTGGCTGCGGGTTCCCCGGGAGACGGTGATGCAGGGCGAGGGGCCGGGCCGGAGCCCAGCTGAGCCCCCCTCTCCTCCCCCCCGCCCGGACGGGCTGCGCCGAGCCATTGATGACCGTATTGAAAAGGCGCAGGCGGCAGCTCGGGGCTGTACTCGGGGCCGGCGGCTGCAGCTCGTTGGCACCTTCCCCCTCCCTTAATTGCTCCTCAGCCAACTCCATGTGAGCCCGGCCGGGTACAAATAGCCCCGCGCCGCGTTTCCCCCCACACCGCGCACCTCGCCCACGCCGCACCCCCGTTCAGTTGGGCGGTGGCCAGCCCGCCCCGCACCCTCCCGGGCAGCACCAGGGCACCCAGCCTGGGCACCGTCTCCGCACCTAGCTGCACCCCGGAGCCTTTTGTTTGTTGGTCACCCACAGGCACCATTTCCAAGCCCAGCCCAGGACCGCAGCTCCCCCGAGAGCCTCCTGCCCCCAAGAGAGCCAAGCCCGGGGGAAGCCCTGCGATCCCTGGACAAAGAAGCTACAAAGAACCCAGGACCGTCCACTCAGCCCCCTGCACCCCCGCCATGAGCAACCTCAACAAGGAGAGCGAGCACAGTAACAGCAGCAACAACATCGAGGAGGAGGTAGGGGGCTGGGGAGCAGCTGCTGCTGCTGGGGGCTTTGCCCTCTTCCTTGGAGGGGGCTGGGAGGGAAGGTTTGGGGGTCCTTGCCTGTCTCTGGGGGTGGGGTGGTAAATCGGCTAGGGAAGTGTAGGGCTTAATGGGGAATTTGGATCCTGGTCTCTCTAGCCTTTAGCTAGGTGGGATGGGGACCTGAGTGTGTACTCCTTGTCAGGGGGACACGCTCTAGCCTTAAAGAGCACCTAAGGTGCTTACCACAAGTATGCCCCACTTCCCCTCTGCAGGGCTAACCCTATTTAATCCGTCCAAAGTGTCTAAGTCAATCAGAAATGTAAGCCCTGCTCTTCCTCAGTGCCCACCTTGTCTGGGGCCGGGCGGCTGGCTGTGCAGTCAGATTCCTGCTCTCTTCCGGCTCCGAGTGGAGCAGTGAAAGAGAACAAACTAACTTTCTAAAAATCTGCTGTGTGGGAGCCCTGCTCCAGCGAAAGCCAGAGCTGCTCTAAGCCCTCCTGTGGCGCTGTGGACAGGCATCCAATGCAAGGCTGTACCTTTCTGTTGGGCTGGGAACAATCTTGTCTGAGGCTGGGGGCAAGGCTTGACCTTTGCCATCCCTGAGCTTGGCTCTTGGTCTGGGATAGTTTTCTGTACCTTCAGCTGGGACTGGCCCTCAGATTCTCCAGGACCCCAGTCACGAGCCAGGAGAATTTTCTCTCCCCATTTCACCATTCAAAACCTTGCACTACTTGGTGCTTAAAGTGATCTTAAGTGTGTGTGTGTGGTGGGGGGGTGGGGGGGGGGGGGGGGGGCTCTGCCATAACCTGGGAGCATCAGCTTTGGCAAGTCAGGAAAAGTGTGCCCCACTGTGAGCTGGTTTGATTTCTTTCAAAGAAACCTTGGCTAGGTTGGGGCCCCCCCCCCCAACTACACCCCACCCCCAAAACATGCATACACTAAGTGCTGCTGGCTGGTGTAGTACAACCCATTCCTGTTTGTATTGCTGGGCAAAGGGCATCTCACAGCCCCCAGAGGGGAAGGATGACACCCTTCATCCAGCCCTGATTCCCTTTCACCCCAAAGCTTGGGTGGAGGGGTTCCTGGGGTTGGGGAACACCTCAGAATTAAATGAATCCCTGGCATGCAGCTGGGGTGATGGAGGGGCCCTCATAGGGAAATGCAGCTGTTTAAGCAGGCCTGGTTGGGTGTGGAGAGGCGCTCTCCTTGGAGCCTTGAAATGCTTGCTAATCTGGTGTGAACTGCATGGTCCATCTCCTGCTCTCCTCTTGAGAATGCACTGGCTTCTTGGTGTGAGGACTGTTGCAGGCCAGCTAGAGGTCAGGAACATTTCCTTGTCATTCTATTTTGCCTGGCTTGACCTCCTGCGTGACCTTGGGGAGATCGGCTAGCCTGGCCCTGCCTGGTGCAGGAGCCCTAGTCTAGAGTGTGGCTCTGGGGAATGAGGACAAGGATCCTTAGCTTCTTGGCTTGAGGGGACCTCCAGTGGCTGCAGTGTGCCTGGGCTGTCCCCAGCTTGGCCAGAACTGGGCTGCCATGCTCTGCTGGAGACATCTCTGCTTTCAATATAGTGGGTGAGTAAGAGCCACTTGGGGCACAGAGGGTTGCCAGGCTTCTTTGTCTCCTCCCTGACCACTGATGGCTAGAGATGCAAATCTGGACTCTGGTTAGCTTTGTGCTGGGTCTGAGAACCCTGTGCGGGGAGGGATGGCAGAGCGACCTGGGATACTGCTCTCTGCAGGAGAAGCCCAGAACAGAAACCGTGCAGCCTGGTGTCCGGATGGCTGCACTGCTTTGACTCCTGCCTTGTGGCATGCTGCTGGGCAGCAGGGAAAACAATCCCTCCATGTCACTGCCATCACCTCTTCTACCAGAATGTCTGTGTCCCCATTAGTCACTGCACCAGAGTACTTGGCACAGTCCCTGACTCTTTCCTGGGGCTCTGAGACTTCTCTGAAATCAGCCCAAGGATGCTCACCCTTTGGGTGCAGAGCTAACTGTCTTAAGTGTGTAGTGCTCAGTGCTGGAGGGAAGCGTGAATTCCCTGGTAGCTTCAGTTGGCTATGCTATTCTTCCCATCCCCTCCCCCAACTCTCCTACAAGGAGCCGTGTAGCATTGCTGGTGCAGAATGGCGGCTGTTTCCACCCTGGCATTGGGCAAAATGCTTCCAGTACATTGGGGAAGCATGCTGAGCTTTTGATCAGGAATTCTCAACAGCTACATAAGAAAACCCCTTAATGCTGAGGCTACCTGTCCACCCTTTTGCTGTTCTGGGGGGGGGGGGGGAGGGCATGTGTGTGCAGGAACAAAGGATAGCACTTACCTAGGTCTGCAGGAAGTGGGTTGGGAAGATGTTAATGGCTAGTGGAGTGAGATGGCTCAAAGCACTGTCTAGGAACAGTATGGTGACTTCTTTTCTTTTTCCATAGAATTTCTTAAGGGTTTAGATGGAGAGGAGGGGTCTAATACTTAGTGCCTTGGTACAGCTGGCGATATGGTGGTGGCTGCAGCAGCGGCATTTTATAGCATGCCTGGATTTCTAGTCATGGGTTTAACTTCAGGTTTGTCTCCCCCTGCTTGGCACTTTCCTAGTTTCCCCTCTCCTTCCCTCACCCCTAATTAGCCAAGCTAGTCCAGTTAATGCTTCTGTAACAAAGGAAGGGGTTTATTACCAGCAGTTGATCAGCATTGCCTGTGGGGAATCTGCTACAGTACAGCCTAACTAATAGGCACTAATGCCTGGGAAAACCCATTGCAAATCTTTGATCTGGTTAGTCACTGACCTGCAGAACTTCCCAGTGAAACCCAAGATCCTGGGTCACTTAATTAGTCAGGTGTAATTCTGTTTCAACTACTAGCTAGTGCACCCCATAGCATGCTAGTAAGTGTTGTGCGAGGTAATTTGTCAGGCTACCAGTCCTCATGCTGGAGTAAGGTTTACTATTGCTGCCCTGCTGAGAGCTATTGGCTGGTGGACTAGCAAAGTGGAGACTTGAAGCTCTACTATCCTTGGATATATGCCAGTATTGTGACAATATGCTATTGCATGGGGAAGGTAGGAACACCTGGCCCTTCCAACAGTGATGTGTGGTACTAGGATGGGACTTGACTCTTCCAAGAAAGCCAGTCTCAACTGTATTTCAATGTCTGTCCACCATGAGCAGGATGAGAGCAAAGGGGTGTGAATAAAACAATTGTTTGGCATGCTCTCATCCTGGTCCTCCAGTAGAGGGGGCTGCTGTGCATGCCCACAGGGGGGGCGGGGGGGGGGGGGAAGGGCGCAAAGGGGAGCAGCATCTGCAATCCACAAATCAGTAGAGCCGCACAGGCTTGTATAAAAGGTGAGGGTCATGGCCACCCTCCCATTTCTAATGGGAGTGAGTGTCCTTGATCCATGGAAAGGGGGTGCTGGTCTGGTCCGAGGGTAGAGAGCCATGGTATGGAAAAGGCTGAGGGCTTCTATGCAAAGACACCTGGCCCCTCCCAAGCAGTCTTGTTCCTAGAGTACAACATCTCTTCCTTGTTGGATGTAGCTGCCTAATTCCCAAAGCTATACGCTTGAACTGCTTCTTTGGGAAGAGCATTCCAGTCAGGTTGTGTCCTTGTGTTTGTCAGACATTTTCCCCTTTCTTCTTCCCATAATTCCTTGTTACACAGGACTTCTCTGCAGCACTCAAATTCCTCTCCCTTCTTGTAGCTGCATCCTTCTAAGAAGACATGGCCATCTCAGTTCATGCTTTGGGCTAAAGTCTTTCCTCCTAGTGTTGCAAACAACACTTTGGGTGACTGAGTGGAAGGGAACTTTTTTTCTCCATGTGTATTTGACAGCATGCTATAGAAAGATTCATTTCTCTTGTCTAGCCAATTACCCCCTCCCCACCCACCCCAAGCAGCAGGGAATCTCACATCAATAAGGGACAGATCTACTTAAACAATTGACTAAAACTAGTAGGGGGCTTGACATGACTTTGAATTTGGGGTCTTGAAACTGACTAGAATTCTAGTCAGTTTCAATGTTGCTAATGTTGAACCATGGCTCACTTGAATTCTGGAATATGGCTAGGACCTCTTCCCTGTCACTGGTGAGGCAAGCAGTATGTTATCTAGCATCTTCACTCAGATCTAATCCTTACTGCCCTGAGTGCTCTGCTCTTCTCAGAATGTCCTCAAACTTCTATTCCTAGATACGTGCCTCTGCATGGGTAATTTGGTCTCTTTGCCACATCACACTGTAAACTCCTATCAAAGTTGGCATCCACAACCACCCTTTAAGCCTCTCAGCAAAACCAGTATGTCCCTCTCACTGAACACACACGTACCTTGGCTTATTCTCCTTCTTCCCACTTGGCACTTGTCTGTGTCACTCTCAAATTTAACCTCACTGGCACCTAATCTCAAGGTCCCTGTCTTTCACAACCCCTCCTGATTAGTGTCCTCTGTAGATCTTATTAATGTGCCCCTCTTTCCCACTGCTTGGCCATAATGGAAAGCTTAAATAGCAGGGCCTCACACTAGTCCCTGGCCTACCTCACCAGACACCTCCCCAAACTTGATACACTGCCACTTATCATTATCCTTTGTTTACATGTCTAAGCCAGTCATCAGTCCACATGCCAAGCTATTCTGAACTAACTGATATGCAAAGTTGTCTCTACAGCCCTTCTTCCAGCCACTAACTTTGGCTCAGCAAACAAAGTGCTCTAGTAAGTAGCACTGCTGCTTGGGATGTTGGCACACAAGTAAACAAAACACAGCAACTTATTGATACTGCACTAGCACCTCAGGACCCCAGTGTCTGGTGCTGTACAAACAGAACCAGGAGAGCACCCCAGAGCAGGGACTTACAATCAATCCTCATTATTATTATTATTTATTATTATTAGAGATCCTATTCCTAGAACTGGAAGGGACCTTGAAAGGTCATTGAGTCCAGCCCCCTGCCTTCACTAGCAGGATGAAGTACTGATTATGCCCCAGATCCCTAAGTGGC